CTCCCCTCGCCCAGGGCCAGCAGTCCCAGCCAGGTGAGATGTTCCAGAGCAGGGCAGAGCCCCCTCTGGCCTGGATTTTCAGCCAGAGAAGCACAACACGGGCAAGGGCAGCTCCTGTGTCACCAGGGCCACTGCAGGGATCAACCAGCACCTTCCTCATCCCCTGGGATTCTGTGAAGCACAAACCAGCAGGGCAACACCTGGAGAGGAGACAGATCCTGTTCTCCTCAGGGCACCAGAGCTGCTGAGAAGCTCCAGGAAGGGGGAAGCAGAACTGAGGCTGGGAAGGGAAATTCTGGGTTTAGGATTTTACATCTCAGCCAGTTCCAAGCCTCTGGAGGAGACCCCCTTGGCCAGGACAAGCTGGAGATCCTGCTGGCAGAGCATCCTCCAGAAAGACCCAGCCCTTGGGAATCTATGCTCCACATTTGGTCCAGCATCCCCTAAATTTTTTTTTTATTTCAGTGGATGACATAAATTTTTATCTGTTTTTGCTCTTTTTTTTTTTTCCCTGGCTTTCTGGAATGGCAGGGTGGGTGTTTTTTGTTCTTGGTTTGTTTTTTTTTTTAATCAAACAGCTGATTTTTTTGCTCTAGGGCAAGACTGTAAAGGCCATTGAATGTTTTGGTTTTATTGTTATTGTTTGTATTTTTATATGGATAATGTTTATTGAGAAATTTTCAAACTCGTGGAAAGCAATTTGTTTCTTAAACTAATCTAAATAAATTAAGGAATGAAGGTTGGTTCTTGCACCTTCCATTATTTCCTGGCTCCATGTCAAGGGGGTGGGGGAGGTTGAAATGATTCTGACCCGCTAAGGCTGCTTTTGCTTTAGAGTGGGAGCACCTCACTCGACCCTGCTGCTTGTTCAGATTGTCTCTCATCTCCAAAAGCCGCGGTTTACACACAAAAAATTAAAGCTGTTCCTCCCTGTCACACCCTGGGGGTTCTCAGTGCAGGTGGAAATTTCACTTGTTTTGTCCAGATTTCCACCCCTTTCCCCATGTGCTGGTGGGTTGGGGAAGCCAGGAGTCCCAGGCACGATTCCCCAGATGGAATTTTAACGCTGATGGGATGTTTGTGCAGAATTTAGGAGGAATAAAGTTTTAGGGCCCAGCCATTAAAAGTGGCATCTGTTTAGCAGGGAGGGTAATGAGCAGAGATAGGGATATGGTTTATCTGCTGCTACTGCACAACACACAATAAAATCCTAATTAGTGCTGTAAATTACCGCTCAATTTCAATCTCAGTGTTGATCCATTTATCTCCCAAGATTACAGCCCTGGATAATACATATGAAATTACTTTGAAATATCCTCGTGGCAACTCCCATTTACCAGATTATCTGTGAGCTCAGGGCATGCAGAGATGCTCCAGAGAGGGGACTCCTGCTGCTTTGTCCCATTGCTGAGCCTCATCAGTGGCCTTTTCATTAACTCCTCCATTGCTCAGCAGCAAATATGAACATTTCCTTTTACAGCCCTGTCTGATTTCCCTGCTAAAAGCTTATTTCACCAACATTACCAGGAAAAGGAGTGCAAAAGGGAACGAGTTGTAACTGGGAATCTGAAGCCAACATATGGAAACTCTCTGGCTTCAGGGGGAAGGGGAATAAGAGCGGGGCCTGCAACTCCCAAGAAGCTCAAATCAGTCAAAAAGGCGTTGCTGAGACTAAAACATGTGAGAATAAAAAATGGGAATGGAATGTGGCAGGGGCAGAGGCAGAGAAGTGGCTCTGAGATCTTCCAGCCGAGCTGTGCAGCCCAATTCCTCAGGCCACATCTGTGCAATCCAGAGTACACCACGAGCACAAAGCTGTTACTGGAAGTACTGACTCTAAAACATTGATTAATCATTAATAGGGGGATGACAGATGGGTAGAGCTCCATTAAAAATGTGTCCACCCTTCCAGTGGCTCCCTGAAGTTTTAACAGCCCCTGTGCTATCCCCGCTGATGCAAACCACCCCAAAAAAAGGCAGCAGGACGACCCCAAGCTTTTGGACTACAGATTTCCCCTCTCCTTAACACAGAACCCCGGGTACCAGAGGAGGAGGAAGGGCATTGCTGCCCCTGGGAGCCACACAGAAACCAGGACTGAATTTTCTGAATTTGCACCACAGCCATCGGTGCATTCGCAGGTATTTATTTAAATGTTCCTTTCAGAGCAGGCCCTGAGTGTCCCAAAGAGTGTGAATAACAGCAGCGAGTGAATAAAAAGCAACCCCAGCCCTGGCACAGCTCGAGCCTGTTCTCCCTGCCATCCCTAACGACTCTGTTGCGCTCCCAGACACCCACACCCACTCCAATAAAAGGAACACTGGAGTGGGCAGAGCACACAAACACCTGGGATCTCTGGAGCCAGGGCTAGGCCATAAACCAGCTCCCCGTGCAGGGCTGTGATCACACCCTCCTCCCTCCCTGAGCACACAGATCAGTGCTCGGTGCTCCACACACGCACTCTTGTTCTCTTCTCTATCACTTTTCCTGTGCCCTTATGTTCTGCTTCCACTTGGCCTCCCCACTGCACACACGGGAATCGATGGCAATTAGAGCCAGGGATGGAGCAAACACCCCAAAGAGCTTTAAAGCACGGTTTGGTGATTGCTGGATGGACTAAAGGATGTCTGCAGGAGGAGGGAACTGTGCTGGGGCGTCCCTGGGCTTCCCCTGCCTCTGCTCTGTGTCTCTGCAGGCAGAGCCCTGGAAAAGCAGCAGTGGGAACAGCAGGGAAAGCACTGGGAACTCTGAGGCAGAGACAGGGGGATGGACCCTCTCTGAGCAGCTCTCTCACTCTGTTCACAGTGTCCTTCCCAACCTTTCTGCTCCCCCTTTCCTCATTCAGCTCTGGAGCCTCCCCAGCCTTCCAGGCACTGCCCCCACTCACAGAAACCACACTGGGGGTTACAGACCCAAATGCTCACACTGGCTGATGTGTGACACATGAACCTTCTATAAAACCTGATGATTCACCTTTCCATGTGCCAGGAAAGGCAGAACTGGGTCTTTCCTCTCAGTCCCTGCTCAACCCATCTCGGCACATTCTGCTCTTCCTGGCGTTGCACTATTTACATCTACGGGCTCTCGAGCTGGAAGTCCTGCCCTCTCCTGGGATCAGCTCTGACCTTTAAATTGCTGTCCTGGACCCCACTGTCACCTAAACAGTTCTCCTTCAAACAATTCCATCACTCAGTAACTAAGTCAGAGCACAGAGGTGCTTAATGTTTAATTGTGTGAGTTCCTTCTCTCCCTGTAAAACCCTCCCTCCCTAAGCTGGGAATTTGGAGGCTGGTTCCTGCAGAGAATTCCCTGCATGGAGCTCACACACACCTGCAGAGATCAAGACCCCTGTAAGCGGGAGAAGGGACAGAATACACTGTAATTTCAACGACAATTCCAGCCCTGACATGTCCAGCCCTTCCACCCAAGCCACCCCCCATTCAATCATTTTATTTCCATCTCCCCAGATCTGCTGATGTTTAAATCAGAGAGATCAGAAGAGTTTGTATTAGTAGATCTCCAGTATGCACACAGCAATAAATACAAATACCCAGGCTATGGTGGGACTTTGTCAGGGCTGTGTTGCCCTGGAAAAGAACAAGAATTTGGGCTATTTTTTCCTGGCCTAGCCCCTGACTCCATGGCAGCAACAGCACTGGGCTGTGCTACACAGATGTAACCATTTGTTTGCTTGTTTGTTTTGTTTTTTGTCAACAGCTGAATCTCTCCTCTCATAAAGGCACCACATGATATGTCCTGGTCTTCATGACTCACTGAAGACACCAAATGCTCTGTGAATCACCATCAGCAGCTGTCATCCACTCTGGTTTACATCATCTCAGCAAACCATGGTGACACCCCACACCAGAGAGCAGCAGGAGGGGTCAGACCAGCTGCAAAACACCCCTGGCCAGAGCCCAACTGAACAAAAACCTGAGTGGTTCCACACCTGGGGGGGGAAATGAGGGGAGAGGAGGGCCAGAGTGTCCCCAGTGTCACCCTTTATCTGCTGCACTGGGCACTCTCTGCAGTGAACCTGCAGCCAAATGTTCACCAAAGCAGCACCTTTAGGAAGGGGGGAAAACCCCAGTGCTGGAGCTCCCATGGCAGAGGGGGAAGGGTGGAATATCCCTCATCTCCAGCCCTTTCTTGCTCTTCCCTTTTTGAGGCTCGTCCAGGAAATGTTTGAGCAAAGAGGACTCAAGGCAGGAGACAGCCCAGACCTGTCCTTGTGTAAAGTTTAAAAAAGTTAAAAAAAAAGGGGAAAAAAAAAGGCGAGCCAGGTATTTCTTGGAAGTGTAAAATCCCACTTTCCAGCAGAACTGGTGGCTGCAGAAGGACACTCTCCCCTCAGCCTGCAGCAGAGTGTGGCAAGGTTAACTATTAGGCAAGCTTCATTAAACCTTTCTAAATGCTGCTGTTTGCTCCCATTATTCAAATGCCTCATTTCCTTGTAAAGCAAGGGAATTACTGCCCTGGATGTCATTTCTTTAATTATGTGCATTAAGTTATTCTTCATGGCCATACCTAATCACTCCTCAGGACGTTGCCCATGTGGTGAAGAGAATCACACACAGCACAGGAAATATGGAGATGAGAAATAAAAAGATAACCAGATAGTCCTCATTCTCAAAAATGCTTCTCTATTTCATCAAGAGGCAAAACAACACCAAAGCCCACGTTATTAAATATAATAAATTAATTCAAGGTTTAATTAGAGGAAAATCAAAGCTTTTTGTGGCTGGACATGACATGCATTTTGCCAAAATAACATTTTGCTCAAAAGCTGCTTTATTGAACAGTTACAGATTTCACATCAGCCTGGTGGTTTGGGTGTGCAGAACACCTGGAGACGAGATGAGCAGACTCTGGGAAGCAGAGGGGCTGCCTTGCTGCAGGAATTCTTGGGTGTTTGTCCTCACACAGCACAGCAGCAAGGTCTGTGAAACACGGCGAGCAGGGTGGAAATACCCCACTGCTCTGATCGTGTGGCACAGTCTGTGACCAGCTGAGCTGAGGCTCTCATTTCACTCCCCAGCCTTTGCCTCTTCCCCTTTATAAACCACCACGTTCTGCTCCGTCTCGTGCACCTTCACCTTGTAGAGGGTCCCGGGGGGCAGGAGCCTCTGCAGGCTCTCCCAGATGAACACGGCCACGTTCTCCGTGGTGCTGAGGGGACACGGGGGGACCTGGTGATGTCAGAGCCCACGGGGGCACCTGGGGATGCAGGGCCGAGCCCTGGGGACCGCTCAGTGCCCGGCACCCACCTCACCACCTCGGCGAAGAACGGCACGTCCTTGTCCAGGTTTTTGTGGTCCAGCGGTTCCATGACGGCCTCCTGCAGGGAGAGGAGTGACAGCCTTGTCCCAGCTGCCCTGGGGGTCAAACAACCACGCACAAGGCACTGGGAGGCATGTACAGAAAAGGGGGTCAGAGCCCTACATCCAGTGGTGAAATTGCTGGCTGGAGACGTGGCACTGCTGGAGCATTTTAGTCTTGAACCACTCCTTAATTTCTTCTTTATCTCCTGCCATCATCAAGCAGTTCTCCCAGGGGACATGTAGGGAAGCAGTGCCATTACCTGCATGTATTCCTTCAGGTCTGTCAGGTTCATAACCATTCCCGAGACTGGGTCAATCTGCAGGGAAACCAAAAGGGAGATCAGCAGCCTGGCCACACAGCCTTACTGCCTGCACAAATCAGGCATAAATAGCTGTGCTCAGGTCATCAATAACTTTCTACTGTCACAGAGTTCCAGCTCTACCCCTTTGATGGTCCCAAAGGCTTGTGACAGACTACAAACATCTCCAGTGGTTCCACCCTCTCATAAGAGCTGACTCCAGGGAGGAACAACTCACTGAAAGAGTCTTCAAGCAACAATCTGGAGTGATGATAAGCAGGAAAACGGGCACTAAACTGCTCTGTTGAACAAGCAGGGACAAAAGAGAGCCCAGTCTGAGCTCAGGGCATTCTCCCTCCCAGAGGCAAGCTGGACAGGACAGTGATTATGCAGAACCTCCTCGAGGAGGTTTGCACAAACCCTCTGGGAAATGCAGCCCCCGAGGCAGCACTGTGGGACAGGGGGGGACACACCTATCCTGCTCCCCTCAGGAGGAGAAAAACAATCTGATTGCACTTACCTCTCCACGCACTGTGACTGTCACTGCAAACAGAGAGAGCATCAGGTCACCAGGGGGCCAGGAACCCCCACCCTAACCTTGCTGCTTGTAGGGACAGCCAGCCCATCTAATTCTATGTGCTCAGGGTGCAGGGAGGAGGAGCAGGACTTGCGAAAACAACATTCAAATAACGTTTGCAGGCTGTTTAATTTGCATGTCTTTTTGCCTAGAACAATCCTCATTCAAATCACGACGATCTCGCAGAGTGTAAACAAGTAGATTTGATTTATGAAGTGACACTCTGAGATAAATATTTATTATCTATTCAAGTGAATATACTGCAAAGCTGTTCTTCACCCCCCTGCTGCTGAGCTTTCCTTCTAATTCTTAAAAACACACAAAACCAGCCACTAAAAACTATCAGACTGAGACATGAGTGGCCCAGCTCTCCCGTGGGTTACTCACACCCTGAGAGCAGCCTCTGCCCCTCCCCACAGGAGGGAGGATGGAAGTCAACTCCCCACCTTTGTAGTTGTGTCCATGGCCATTTGGGTTGTTGCATTTCCCAAAGAGCTTCAGGTTTTCTTCATCACTCAGTGATTTACTGTGAGAGAGACAGACATGGCACGTCAGGGTCCATTCCAGCTGCTCGTGGCTTCACTTCTGCCCCCACTGCTCTTCAGCTCTCCATCTATTCTATTCCCTCTCCCAGATTTAACCCACTAGTTTTTCCTGCTCAAAAAAAAAAAAAAAAAAAGAATAGTATTTGGCCCATATTGTTGAAAACAGTGAGGTTTTTTTTTGCTGTGTTCTTTCATCTGTTTCATAACACCTGCCAAACTGCTGTAAATGTTCAAAGTATGATTTTCGGGTCACAGGAACACAGAACATGCCCAGCTGGAAGAGACCCACAAGGATCATCGAGTCCAACCCCTAGGCCTGCACAGGCCCATCCCCAAGAGTCACAGCGTGTTCCTGAGAGCATCATCCAAACGCTCCTCGAGCTCTGGCCGAGGTGCTCTTTGGGAACGCGCACATTTCGAGGGGAAAAAAAGAACCCCAACAGATGAGGGGGGATGTTTACAAACGGGGAGATGTTTACAAACGGGGAGATGTTTACAAACGGGGAGATGTTTACAAACTGCCAGAGCCACGCGTCGTGTCAGAACAAAGAACTCCAGTCCTCGCTAATCCCAGCCGGGCACCGACGGGCGCGATCCGGGAAGGGGCTGAGCCGAGGCGCTACCGCGGGCTTTGGGGGGGCTTTGGGGCGGCTTTGGGGGCTCCTGCCAGAGCAGGGGGAGCGGGGCCGAGCCGGGGCCGCTCACCTGTGCAGGCGGTGGCAGGCGCTGAAGGTGACGGAGCGCGACAGCCGCGCCAGGCGGGCGGTGCGCGGCGACATCGCGGGGCTGGATCCGGGGCTGGACTGGGGCGGGAACGGGGCTGGACTGGGGCTGGACCGGGGCGGGAACGGGGCTGGACCCGGGCGACTCCATCCCGGCCCCGGGGCGGGGCGGGAGCGGCGGCACCGCCCGCGGGACCCGAGCGAGGGCGATGCTCCGGGTCCCGGGGATGCTCCGAGCGCCGGGGATGCTCCGGGTCCCGGGGATTCTCTGAGTCCCGGGGATGCTCCGGGTCCCGGGGATTCTCTGGGTCCTGAGGATGCTCCGGGTCCTGGGGATTCTCTGGGTCCTGAGGATGCTCCGGGTCCCGAGGATGCTCTGAGCGCCGGGGATGCTCCGGGTCTTGGGGATGCTCCGGGTCCCGGAGATGCCCTCAGGGCTCGGCCCCCGCTCTGCCCCCCGATCTCTTCCCCTCGGTGCCTGCCCGCAGCCCGCGGCCCGGTGATACAAAGAATCATGGAATTCTCCGCCCAACCCGGCCTCGGGCACTGCCAGGGATGGGGCATCCGCAGCCTCCCTGGGCAGCCTGTGCCAGCTCTGGCTGGCTGCAGTTGGCACAAGGTTGTACACGAAGCTCTGACGCCTCCTTTCCGCTTCCCACCTCACCGAGAAAAAGAATAAAAGACTTTAAAAGGAGCAGCGGTGGTGCCTGAGCTCCATGGAACACTTCCTTGGCACCGTTCTGCTGCCAGTGCTGGGCATGTGGCCTCGCTGGGGGCTGTTCCCTTCCCCGTGGGTGACAGGATACAGCAGGGCAGTTCCACTGGTGACATGGCAGGTGACACAGAGAGGAGGGAGGAGGATGGCAGGGCTGGAGCACCAGCAACGGGAGGTGTTTGCCATCTAGTGGCTTTGCCCAGCTCTGGCCTGAGCCTCCCTCTGCCTCTCCCAGGGCAGCAGCAGCCCTGGGGTACAACCCTTTTTCTTTCCCTTGCCTTTGGGAAGGTGAAGAAAGGTCAGAAGAGATGAAGCCCCTGCAGCACAAGAGCTCATACTGTGCTCAATGAAAATGGTTCAAATCGTTTTCCAGGCTTCTCACGGTGAAGAAATACAAAAAGTCTTTAAGCCAGGAGGGGCATCCAGTCCCCTGAAGTCCTCCCTCTTCACAGGGTACTTACACAGGGCTGCCCCTGGCACACCTACCCACCTACAACAGCTGGAGCAGCCTGGATGACAGCTGGAATTCCATCTGCTCTACTTGCAACCAAAGGGATGTCAAGGCCATCCAACAGTGGAGTTGTACCTGTTTCATACTGGTTGAACTGGGAGGAGGGCAGGACCTGTGAGCCATCAGAGCTCTGCTGTTTAAGCAGGAGAGTGGGTGATGTGTCATGCGTGTCACCACGTGGGGGCAGGGAAAGAGAGAATGAAACTTCACCACGTTTTATTGGAGGGCACTGCCAGTGTACAGAGAAAAGCACAAGTACAGCTCCTGTGAGCATCTGCATCTACCTCCTGGAGTCCACTGAAGGCAACCTGTATGCAGTGGGGGTGGAATAACACCCCTTCTCTGGGCCCACCTGTTGCAGGCTGGTTTTACTCCTTCTCTTCTGCTTTCAGCCAAAGTCACTGCCCCGAGCACCGATGTTCTCTCCCCTTCACAGCACACTGCTGCCAAAGAAGATCTCCTCTTTCTCCCTTGCAAGCCATGCCAGCATGGCACCCTTTGTGAACTGCTGCTAGCTGGTCTATCAAAATAGTAAAAAAATTAGGATAAAGCAGTGGGCTGCTGAATGAAGGGGCTTCTGCCTCCCTCATGCCCTTGGCTGGATATTGTGAGGAAAAAAGGAGTAATTCAGAGGTTATGGCAGAGAAAAAGCACTTCCCTCATCCCAGACATAATGCAAAAGTGGAAGGTAGAAGCAGCAGAGGTTTCTTTCTGAGCCTGGCTTGGCCCTGAGTTACAGGAGGTGTCAAGGAGTGGGGTCAGTGGGGAGTGAAGATGCCGTGGAATCCATAAGGCATTTGCACCGGGACTTCTGCTCGCCCCAGCTCTCTGAAGGTCTCTGCATCCAGGACAAGCAGGAAAGCACTTCGGTTCTGCAGGAGGAAAAGAAAGGCAGAGTGAATGTGCAGGCTGAACCTGGTTTCACTATCCAGCCTGCTGCACACAAGGGAGCCCAAATGTCCAGCCAGGCCACGCAGATCCAGCCTGTCAGACAGCTGGCCAGGAGCACTGGCAGTCACAGGAGCCACTCAAGAAGCACTGACACGTCAAGGAACACTCCTGGGGAGCAAGGAACTATCTGCCAGGGAGCCTCCAGCTGGGTTCTGTGGTTTAAAAAGTTAACTAATGCTCTGTGACTTTGACAAACTACCAACAATAAGTTACCTCAGCAGGGGAGACCACAACAGACAAGATGACTCCACTGTCCTCTGCTGTGGCATTAGGCACTGGCACAAACACAGGCTCTGATGGGTAGGATGCATCCTCCTGCCAAATCTAGCAAGCACAGGGACATATGGATGAGTTTCATTTCATTAATACTTGTCTGCTACAGCTAGCAGAGCTGCAAGTTAAGAGTGCTCCCCACAAAGACACCCAGGCACAGTCTGTGCTCAAAGAAACTCAGAGTTCAACCTTTGAATTAATCCTTTGGACTCCAGCAGTATGATGGTGCCATCCTCTCCTGCTTGGTGAGTCACATTCACGGGGTGAGAGATAAAATTAGGAATCTCATCCCAGACCCACCTGGACAAAGACCCCCAAAGCCCCTAGCATTTTCCTATTTTCAAAGCCAGTTCAGTGGATCTGAAGGAGGATAATCTGGACTTCAGTTCACCTTGAAATTCTTGGTCTCCACATCGACCTTCATCAGGGAATCCCCGACCAAATGGCCGAATCCACACCCGTAGAAGTACCGGTACCTCCTCCCGTTGGACCAAGAGTAGTTGATCTGGGGGAACTCCAAACCCCCGACCTTTTCAAAGCCCTCAGGGTGCAGATTTTCATGTGTGCACCAGACCTAGAAAAAAAATACGCATTTCACAGGTGTTGGTTTAGTTCTGACAGGGCAGAAGACCTGACTGGCCCCACAAGCACTGCGGGGAAGAAATGTTGTGGGAATGGGGAAGAAAAAGATCTGGGAAGACAACGGCACAGGATGACAACTGTTGCAGGCCACCTCCCCACAGTTATGCAGGTCTTCAATACACACCTTTCCATCTGCATCCTTCACAGCCCTTGCCAGGGTATAAGGCAGTGGGTTCAGGTTTTTGCCCACGGGGGTGTCTGGATCCACGTGCAGAGGGAGCACAAAGCGGCGAGGGAAAGCTCGGGGCAGCGAGGCATAAACCTGGTACAGAGACAGCCAGTCATGGGGGTGGAGAGAGGAGAGACACTGCAGGCTAAATGCACATCTGGGGAACAATTCTGGAGTTGGAGACGTTCCTCCCACCCCTAAAATCATTGTCTTCTTTCTGCTCTATGTTTTACCCAGTTCTGGCGAGGTAAAACACATCACAGAAAGAAGTTCTCTGCACCTTCCAGTACTAGAGTAGAAAACAAAAAGACAAGCAATTGAAAGAGTCAGCATTGCTTTCACAGGGTTAGTTAATTAATTAATACTGAGTAGGGTATGCAAATCCCTCTGTTATCTCCCAGATTCAGCGTGGGGACACACACTGCACCTTATTTATTAGAACACTTACATTGCTCTCCATCACTCTCTGGGTAAGTCTCCTTCTCCTCCAGATGGTAAGGCAAGCAGGAGACTGCTGTACCTCAGTTCAATGCCTGAAGTTATCCTGCAGGATTTCCCTCTTCCATACTCGGGTACACATGGATTCATGTTTGGAAGTCCAGGGGAATGATGGAGGTACTTGGGGAGCAAAGGGGAGAGCAAACCCGCAGCCCCCCAGTGTGACAGACAACCAGCGGGTTGCAGGAGAGGAATGATTCCACCACTGCCCCTGAAGTTCCATCCAAACCAAGTTTAGAACCCATCACATTCCCATATATTAAGCCTCCTAAATAAAGCAGGTGACAAGGACCCTGCTTTGGTGGTTTTCGGTTGCTTCAGCCCGTAACTCACCCGTTCAACGTGACACTTCACTTGAATCATAATTGTTAATCCTGAAATCCTATATTCAAAGCTTTTATGGTTCATGTAACCCCAGTAATCTGGCTGAGGAACTCTGCCAGATCAAGTATGGTTTAGTGAGCAAGCAAAAGCACTTAAGCCTGGCTCGGGGACAAGAGACAAGTCATGCTCAGTCATGCCTTGGCTTTCTGAGGAGCCGCAGGTTTGAGGCTCTGTTCTGAAATGACTTGCACTCTCCCCTGTGTGTGTGTGTACAGGTTATGTGCTTGTCAGTTAGAGAGCGTGGGTGCTGGAAGCACAAGCCCAGCGCTGACACAGGGACACCTTCAGCCAGGTCCAATCCTGGCTCAGGGAAGGAGGGACAAGAGCTGGGATCGGTTTGCAAAGCGTGTGGTCGCATTAACACTCTGCTGTTCCTCTGGCCAAAACACAACTCGAGAGAAACCAACCCAACAGAGGAAAGCAGAACCAAAGGACCTGGCAGGAAGACAGCTGTAGTGTTCTCTCAGGTCAGATCTGACTGGAGGAAGTTCAGACCTGCCTGGACATGCAGCAGCGCTGCCCGTGCCCCACAGCACGGTGGGTTTCCAATAAACTCATCTGCAGCGCCAGAAATGAACGCACCCCCACCTCCCCCTATGCAAAACAGTGCCTCTACCACGGCCTCACATGGTGCTTGTGACAGGGCTGGATAAAATAAGTGATTTATTAGAACGTGCTGCTGTGAGGGGACTGTGAGGAACAACGCTGGGGTTTCCCTGGTGGTTGTGTTTCTCTGATTTTCCTAATCAGTGCCACTTCTCTGAGGTAATGCCTTTGAACAACAGGGTTCCTTTTTCCCTTTTTCCAAGCCATGCAAAAACTTGCTTTGCGTAATTTCTTGTGTGTGCGTGGGGGGGGGGGGGAACATTGTTAACACCGATCATCAGATCCGCATTTTGGTTTTGACACAGCTGAGGTTCCCTTCCCCAGCTCACATCCTTGGCCTTGT